TTCTTTTGTTTATCCACACACTCATATCTTTCTCTGTTTGATCTTTCAGATATCTCCCCCTCATCAAGGAAGTGGACAAAGAAATTCAACAGATTGATGAATAGTCAAATATGACTGATTTGAACCGAATTGGCATGGCCATGTGCAGCAGCTACAAGGGTCGTAAACAACTGGGCTATTGGATATGATAATTGAAAAAGGAGGATCTACACCTACTGACCTATTCCAAAGTCAACTAGTATTAAATTTGCAATTGGAAATTACTTTTGGTTGCATGCCCTATCAGAAATTGTGCTCACTCTTCGCTGCCCAAAATTCCAGACATGCATATATCTACTTACTCTATTTCATAGTTTTCATTTTTACATTTTAGTGAAGTGGAAACTCAGCACCTAGCTTTGTAAATTCCCTTCTTAAAACCAATATTTCTGGATTTACTATTGGAGTTTGTTTGTTTTTCTGGGAAGTTATTTATTTACGTTCTTTTGTTTCTCCGATAAATAAGATAATGATTATTTTAATCATAAAAATTTATTGTTAAAAGAGGTAATTTTGTTCCATTCAAGTGTTAGCAACTTTCCTCTAAAAAAGTTAAATTCTTTGTAGACCCTACATAAATCTGAAAAAAAAAAAAATCAATAGGAACCAAAATCCCATTGACCAACTTTCCCCCTCAAAATCTAAAAAAACAAATGGGCTCTTGATTGTACTTAGTGAAAATTATTTATTCTACTGTAAAAGAGGTAGAAAATTTTTCATTCATTCTATGAAATTTTAGTTATATGTGTGCCCACTTTATGGCTAAAACCTTGTTTTCCACTGGTTTTACATGGGAAGGAATGCGGCCTTCAGAGTTCAGTTTTGTAGCTTGAGAAGCAAGAAAAGAAAGAGGTCCTTAGAAACTTATTTTAAATGGTTTGTGCATTACTTGCATGTTTTAAAAATGTTCATTTTTTGTCTGAGCAAAAAAGTGTAAACTTCTGTTGTGATGTTTCAGTGGTTTGTACACTTAGCTGCCTATGTATCCAAGGTTGTATCATGGTGATAGGTTTTATCTTACTCTATAAAGGCCATTACCCAATGTTAGTCTTTGCTAGTTGCTATCAAAGGCTTGGGGAACTGGGAGGGGTATAGATTAAATACTGTCTTAACCTTTGGCATTTTTTCACACAAAGCAATCACACTTGCCGGTCCAAGATTTTATATCATAATGGCCCCTATCTCTATCTTACCCAATCTTTAATTAAGTATGTATTTGTAAATTAACATTCTACTTTTTTTTTCTCTTTTAAGACAAAAGGTACTTAGGAATTACAAATTTGATTAAGTATATAAATAGACATAAATTCCTTCAAAACCCTAAGGGACTATTATGTGTTTAGGACTCTATTTAGAATAAATGAAAGAAAAAAGTACAAGCATATGCATCATTTACTCCTTCACATTTCAGCATAAGTATAAAGCACAAGTTAGGTTTACCACAGAACCTTTGAATTGGAAATAGACTAATACCATACTCCACAGATATTATTGTATCAAGCCTTTTGACTCCATTGATGCAAGTCACATGATCAGATTAAATAACTGTCCACATTATTGAGTGACCCATACTTTGGACCTTGCTGGAAGGAGTTTGGATCACCCGCCAACAAGACATGTCCCAACCCTCTACCAACATTATCTCACACCACTCATACATCGACGGGTCCCACAGTTTTACACGTGAATGTCATTTGTTGCAATTGGGCCAATCATGATATGCCACATCAGCCTGATACTGAGTTCCATGTGGCATCATCACTGATTCATTATTGGGAGTGTAGGCATTTCTGCTCTCGTTTTGTCGAATTCACATCTCTGCCTCACAATGTCCCACAGCACACCCCTGTCGTGTATTGAGAATATCTCCTGATGATAGTACCAGAATCGATGATATTATTATTGGGAGATGTTCCTAATACACGGTGGAGATGTGCTGTGGGACGTTATGGGGTGGAGATTTGAACTCCATCTTGTCCTATCATGCCTATGAGAAGGTAACTTCAACCCACTATTCATTGCATTTAACCACCAGTCCACCACCTTTATTTTTCACTTCACATGTATAGAGTGAATTGGGATTAATTTGCTCCTAACCGGGAATTCCTCACACCGACCTCACAGTCACATCCTATCATGTGTTGGGAATATTTTCCTGTGAATAATAACATATAAGCAAGAGAAATATTCTTGATGTATGTGGCTAGGACATGCTGTAAGGTTGGAGTCAGGAACGCTTTGTGAGGAGCAGATTTGGATTCTAGTAGTGTAGCCATGCTGGCCAATGCTATATGAATCGCATGGCACGTTGTTAAGTATCCCTTTGAATCTACCTCAGCGTTGATCTGGCAACTTTGATGCACAAATTCTGCCTATTTTAGTTAAGGAAGAGCTCTTGAATGACCAAGTCTAGAGGGAATAGACAATTTTGTATGCTTGAGGAATCCAGATTTGCTCCTCACTGTGTACCGACATTAAGACATCATCCACACAGCACTTCTAGCTGTGCAAGTGTGCATTGACAACATCTTCGTAAATTTAATTTTGTACTGGAGAGTACCTGACTTTTGATTGATGGGTGGTAGCAATAATGTCAAAGAGAAAATCAGATTTGGTGCTCACAAAATTGTGTGCACACTATTCTTACAGTCCTTTTCAGCGATGCAATAGGAACAATTTCCCGTAAATAAAAAAAATTATAAAAAATGTTTTTAAAAGCACGACTGAAAATGGCTGTGAAATTTGTGTGAACGCAATTTTGTGAGGACTGAATCCACCCTCATCATAGGGTGCTGGATAAGAGGGGATCAAGAAAGAGAGAGAGAGAGCAGTTTGTTTTAGGGAATTGGGTTTGGGTGAAGGCTGAACCCAGTTCCGTTACTAAGGCTCAATTTGATAAGAGTATTAATACAAATATGTAGAGTGCAAATACATACAAAATAATATAAATATAAGGTTTTGCACTCTATATATTTGTATTTGTACTCCTTTCAAACTAAGCCTAATGGCCTTGAAATTTGAATAAAACAAGTTTGTTGAGGCCATCTCTTTGCAACATCTCTCGAGTAATAACCGTGGATTTTGGTAAAAAGATAGTACTTTTCTAGGAGTTGTAGGGGTACTTGATTTGGACTCTGCCTCAAATCCAACTAATAGGGAAAATTAAAAAATTAAAACGGTGAAGTAAACTGCACTCCACCCCACAAATATGAAATTATAGCCTCTCCTATAAATCGCATCCTGCCCGTGGATTTGGTATCGATCCACGGTTGGACAATACAATCAAGTCGATTCAACGAGTTTCTAAAAGTAAGGGACCTTTAACTAATAGAGAAAAAAAGAAAGTGGGGAGGATGACCTCCTCGGAAGTCTTCTTATTGCACTTGACTTACTAATTGATGGTGGCTTAGTTAGTAAGATTTCTGGCTTGTTGGAGTAGAGACCTAGGATCAAATCCCACTACCATCAGGGTGGGTTACGGGAGGGGGATGGACTACCCCCTTAGCACCCACGAAGAAAAAAGAAGGGTGGGGGGGGAGGGGGATGAGCTTTTGAGTGTGTTTGTTAATGTGGGCAAGAGGTGTGTTTGAATTCATTGAACCCCACAAATCATATAATGCATATTTTCTATGGTATGGATAGGTGTGGATATATTATTAGCAAAAATTTTAACAAAATATTTATGTTATTTATTGTAAAACTTTTTATTAAAATGATTAAATGTATTGTATTAAGATTTAATCAAAGATCATCATCATCCAAACCTTATCCCAACTATATGGGTTGTGAATCTGTTCTATTTAACTCCACCAATGTGAGATTGCCATACTTATCAGTCTCAAACCTAGATAAAGGAGAAGGGTTGAGGGTTATGTCAGATTAGCAACCAACACTAAAACTTTTATAAAACCCTCATAATTTAAGAACACATGAATATCATGCTGTGGATTGGAACCAAATGATCCATATTTCATAATACCAAACACACCACCCTTGGTGATGCAGGGTGTTTATAGTGATATGAAAATGGCCAAACTGCCATTGAAATGACATCGATAAAGACGAGGTTGTTGATCTTGCAACCACCATGGGTGGGGTAGTGAGGCACCTTTGTTTTCGTGAGAACATATTACTTCCTTTGTATACTGATAGGGGCATTTTAGGCCCACAATAGTTTGATCAATATTTTTCCTCCGGAGTCCGGAGGTTTTACACTGTACATAATTGTATTTATACTCCTTCCAAACTGAACTTCTACAACAAACAACACTCTACATTTCCCCGTATAAAAAAAAAACATGGAAAAATTGATATTCCTCGTTGACCAACTTCCCCCTTTTGGTACCGTGTAAAAAGTAAAATAAGTTGGGCCTAAATACTAGATGGCAGATGCGACCACCAAGGTCATTCACTGCTATTGAAAGCTTCAGCTTTAAAAAAGCAGCTTTCAACAAACAGGAGCTGCAGTTGGAGGTGCTTCCCATAAAAACCATTATTATTAGATGTAGACGCGAAACGGCCTTCCCAATTCTCATTTCCAAAGTGATAGATGCGCGCACGTGCGATGCTCGTTCTTTTTACTAATTAATAAATAAATAATAACTGAGATGAGACTCGAGAGGGAAAGGGAAAACTGGGAAAGGTGGTCGCCGCATTGGGGAGGAATGCGATGTCGTCGCATAAAAAATGCGTGACACCAAAAAGCATCCAGGCCGTTCCGACCCTTAAACCTTGGTCCTTTATGCGGTCCCCACACCTTCCTTGACACTTGTCACATCTTTTCTCGTTGGAAATTACACGTGGCAAAGATCAACCATGCCAGTTTGGTACTTGGGCGGTATCTCCGGCTTTCTCTACGTGGCTACGTCAGCTTCCTTTCTCTCTCCTCTCTTCTTCCTTCCTCAAAACCGTTTCTTATTTATTTATTAAAAAACATACCATTAGTCCATAGGTCCGTCCAGAGCCGTATTATCTCTCTGCTAAATTGAAGACCTCTCTCTCTTCTCCACCCGCCCACAGCATTTTCTCTTCCTCTCCATGATAACTTCTCAAGCTTTGGGAAACCCAAAACCAGTACTACAACTCTGAGTTCAGTATCTGCGGGATTCATGGAGAGCACCGATTCTTCATCGGGCTCGCAGCAACATCAGCAGCAGCAGCCTCGGCTCCCACCGGGCTTCCGTTTCCACCCAACGGACGAAGAACTCGTGGTTCACTACCTTAAGAAGAAGGCCTCCTCTGCACCCCTCCCCGTTACGATCATCGCTGAAGTTGACCTCTACAAGTTCGATCCATGGGAACTCCCTGGTAGGCCCTCCACGATGAAATTCTCCGTATGAATATAATCTCTATCAACTTTTTTGGGATCAACATCTGAATACTAGTGTTGATCTTGAAATGACAATAATTTTCAGGTAAGGCAACTTTCGGTGAACAGGAGTGGTACTTCTTCAGCCCCAGAGACCGGAAATATCCAAACGGGGCCCGGCCTAACCGAGCGGCTACGTCCGGCTACTGGAAAGCTACCGGAACCGATAAGCCCATATTAACCTCCGGCGGAACTCAGAAGGTGGGAGTGAAGAAGGCCCTCGTCTTCTATGGGGGAAGGCCACCAAAAGGGGTCAAAACCAATTGGATCATGCATGAGTACAGACTAGCCGATAACAGTACCAGCTCGAAGCCTCCTGGTGTCGATGTTTCCAACAAGAAGTCCTCCTTACGGGTAATTAATTAATTAATTAATTACTTTGTTGTCTCAATTAAGGAATAACCAGACTGATGATCTATTAATTTCGAGGAGTTTTCACTTTTCATTCTGATTATTATATATGTAATTAATTCTTGATATAGCTTGACGATTGGGTGTTATGCCGGATCTACAAGAAGAACAATTCGAATAGACTCATGGAGCGGGACAAGGAAGATTCAATGACTGACATGATGGCGCTGCCAACTTCGACAGTCGAAGGGCAACAGAGTTCCAAACAGCCACCGGCTCAAAGAACAACAAACTATGGTGGCATGTTGCTTGAGAGCGACGACAACTTCTTTGAAGGTCTATTGTCGGAGGATGGCGTCAACAGCAGCTCCTTGCCTCAGTTCGGTTCATCGTCGATTTCAACGACAGAACTCTCAATGTTTCCAGCTGCCACAGCAACCCAACTCCCTCTGAAACGCCCCTTCCCATCACCCTACTTCAACGAGGTGGCAGCCATTGGACCTTCATCATCAACCAAGAAATTCCACCCTGATCACAACAGCAGTGGCAGCGGCAGCACCAACGCAAACAACCCCATTGCAACCCTACTCAATCAGCTCCCACAGGCAGCCACTCCATTCCACAACCACACGCTTCTTGGGTCTCTTGGTGAGGGTGTTCTCCGGCAACCATACCAGCTCTCCGGCATCAATTGGAACCCTTAGCTTTGGTTAATTTACTTTACGCTGGTGGGTTTGGGTTTGATATGCAGGGCTCGAATCAAGACAACCGAAGCGGGGGGATTTTGCCATATGTCAGTTCCATAAACTGACAATAGGTATCAAACAATTGATCAGCCTGTTAGTTACATACCGTTGGATTGGGTGTCACAGATTCTGTCTGTCAGATAAAAAGTAATTGTAGGCCCTGAGGCTTCTGTGAGTGTAACTATACTTTGCAACAAATTTCAGGTGAGGTCGTAAATGTCAGTTCATTATATTCTGGTTTATACGTATTTGATGAGTATTTATTAATTATTAATATTGTAACTGATGTTACTATTATTATTGTAGAAGAGAGAGAGAGAGATCTGTTTAGGGTTTAGAGAAGAGGAAATTAATTAAGAAGAGTTGCACTGGTTAATTATAGTTTGTTACAGAGATTAAGACTACAGTACAGTTCTTCTGAGAGAGAATTTACAGTATGCAGTAGTTATTGTATAGAAGTCGGTGATGTCAAATTACACTTTTTATTTCTTTCTGTTGAAGATAAGCATGCACGAAGACGATTTATCTAAATAATGTTGTTAGTATGGGTCCCGATCTTCGCCCTTTCAGTCCAACGGTGATGCTTAGCTGTAATACGAGGATATATCGTCACCACGCCTGTCCTGTCTTCTTATCAGCATAATTGGTTTTTGTTTGTTAACGCACAGCCTTCTAATGAGCTTCTAGTTGTTGGTACTTTATTGTTTTCTATGCAGCTCTACCCTATAAACAATTCATACATGAATCTAGAATATACTGGTTTGCATAATAACAAACGGATGGTGTGCTGTTTCTTTCACTTAGTACACACACATTGATTTACAGAGCTTTATTTAATTAGTTGTTTGTAGAATAGGGTTGTTGCTGGATTTATTAATTGATTATTAAATTCACTAACAATACTGTAAATTGATTATTAAATCAAATCAATTTTAAGCCAAAACTACCATGTAGTAATGAATTTTTTTTTTAAAAAAAAAAAAAGAAAATTAAGCATAGGCCGGGTATTATATATTAATGAATTTTAAGCCAAAATTTGGTTAAAAAAGAAGCTAGAAATAGATGCTATTGTACAAGAATATTGAGTATATATCCATCCACTTCATTCATTTAATTTCTTGTTGATATAAATAAAAATCTCTTTATTCACACCAATAAATTAAATGTTATAATCTGAAAATAAGACTCAATGGCATCCTTTTTGTTAATCTGTTGCTTACAATGTTTGTTTTTGGTAATTCACAATCTAGGGGATGGCTAAGGAGATGTCATGGTTGTAGAAAAATCACATGGGTTTGAAATTGAAAGTTAATTAATTTGTTTAATCACCCCTCACAACCACCTTGATTTTATCTCCAAATTCCAGAGATTTGTGGAGGAGATGTGGGGGGGTGTCATTATCTTTCATGGGGTGATTAGACATTACCAAGTATATTCCATGACCCAGGTCACACAAGTTGACAACAAGAGCGGGCTCACGATGGTGTCCTTTGTTGACTATGGGACCATTTCACCATCAAAAAGGAATCATATCTTAAACTCTATGAAATAATACCTCTAATCACTTTCCTTTCCTGGTAAAGAGAACAAAAGGACTTTAAAAGATTTCATATCATTAATGGTTAGTTTTGGAATAGACATCAAAGCAATGAAAGGCATTATTATCCTCATCTTCTGTGGAGGATGATATCACTTCACCTATAAATTTTCAGTAATTTTTATATTTACCAATTCACATGCATTATTTTCAGTAATTTTTATATGGGAAATTTCCGATAATTTTATCCTAGTGTCAATTTGGTCCCCAAACTTTAAAATGTGACTATTTAGTATCCAAATTTTTAAAATGCGACACCGTCAGTCAGAGCCATCACGTGGCAGCATGTGCGGTTTGAATATTTTTAATATGACAAAAATATCCTTTATGACATTATTCAGACCATTTCACCCTTTTCCTTTATATGTTAAAAGAAGGGAAACTTTTCCGAACCACCCGCAAGGGCCCATTAAACGTGGGTTGAAGGCACAAGGCTGGTTTCTTCATTCTGAACACCCGCAAGGCTCCATTATTGAACCATGTTGTTCAATTTGCCATTGTATTCAAGTTAATCATCTAATCTATGAAGTACCAATTAATGGCGACAGAATTGAGGACTCAATGGTAAGTGTCCAATAATGAACATATGTTGAGGACTTAATGGTTCAGGTTGGGACTCCCTAGCATGAGACTAGTTCCATTGGTTCTCAGTTAATGGCAAAGAGTCATTTGCCTAAACACACATGGGATTTGACCAGGGACTGGTCTTGTAAAGGTATTGCTATTGAACCAGGGGAATCAACACTCCTGCATCTCATTCCAAGGTTTTGCCACCTTTGCTTAATTCAGAAAAGCATTTGTTCAGGATATGTGTCCAACAACTGTATTGAACCAACACATATGTGTTGATACTGCAACAGAGCAGAAGGGGTTTTTGCTGGGGTGATGATTAAAACTTGACACTGCCTTCAGATGTAGCATTTATTAAAATGATCAACCACACATATTCAATTATCACTGTAGCATTTGTTAAAAGTTCACAAATACATATCCTTATATACACAGTCACCCCATCATCATTTACAAGAATAGAAAAGAAAAAAAAAAAAACACAGTTCTCTGACCTTCCATCCAACTCCTCTCTTTAGCATATTAACACAGATATCCCACCTTCATATCACATCTTCATACAAAAAACACAAATCTCCTGTCTTCATAATTACTTGCCCCCGGTGAGACCAGATAACAACATTGCTCCATCCAATGAGATCACATAGCACAAAGATAAGAAATGAGAGTTCACCATGTTCTGCAATTAGTTGTCCTTGGAGTTTCCTCTGATTTTGTAAAAAGTCAGACTTCTTGAAGTTTCTTCTGCAATTAGTTGTACTTGGAGTTTCTTCTTCAAGCTTAGATAGAAGCCGAACCTATAGAATAAAGAATAACCAAAGAAGAAAAAAGATCGGCCTCAATGTAGAGACTTAAGATAGCACTAAGATCATAACAAATGTCTAATATTTAAAGAAGAACATGCAAGCAAAGTTAGTAAAGTTGAAATCAACCAGAAGTTGTATCCGCTAAAAAATCTTGCATCAAAATCAACCATTCATCCATCTCGATCATATCAAACCATATAAGCGAATAAACAACCCTATAAATCATGCATCAAAATCAAACAGAAGTCGATGTATTATAATGACAGTAAAGAATCATAGAAAATGATAGAAAAATAGCAAAAAAAAAAACATACCCTGGTTGTCTTCTGACGCTAGCAACAAGAGGTCGTCTTCTCCGAAATGGTTGAGTTAAAAACACTTGTACCAGCAGCAGATGCAATTTGTTCCAATGATTTCTTCCAAAATAAATGGAGAAGATCTTCGTACAATGCTCTCTGGTGTGAGATTCGTCGATTTCAACTTTTTCGGCATCGTATTCCGCTTACCATCACTGGCAAGGAGAACTGGTTTCTTCATAACTTTAGGGCATAGAGTGGATGAACAGTGGTTCCACTCGCAGAGAAAAGATGTTATAGTGGAGGTCATTTTCATTATTTCAAAAAAGAATTCATACAGCTGTTGAAACCGCGAAGGGTAGTTATGTTTTTTTGCATTCTGACTGACGATGAATGAATGCCAGGTACTGGATTATCGCATTTTGAAAGTTTGGGGACTAGATTATTGTGTTTTAAAGTTCGGGGACGAATTGGCACTAAACCTAAAGTACAAGGTACTTATCGGGAATTTTCCCTTTTTATATTTACCAATTCACATGCATGTGTTTATCTATGCACATGTCCACACTCGAGTCCGGATCTCCTGCCCACGAGAACTCTGCCCACGTTTATTGCAGCCACACATGAATAACATCTAATCCTCTGCATAGTATTATGCAGGGGGAGATGTTCCCAATCACAGGGGGTAGTGTATTGTGGTAGGCGTGGGCAGGAGATCCAAACTCTCCACACTCACCCGTGGCACAAAATATACATATATATATATATATATATATATATACAGATACATAAATGGTTCACTTGTCCAGAGTTGGGAATTTTCCCATATAGCCAGCCCTATTTCCAACACATTGAGGAATTTTCTAAGTGATCCGCACGATCCGTTATATATGGGACCTACTAGATTCATCATATGTTCAATATCAATCATATGCTTACTAGGTATTGATTTTCACAATTAAATATATTAGTCATTTCCAGGTTTTAACTTTTTAATTGAAGGCTAAATTAGTGGGTGTTTGGCACCATAGAGTTTCACAAGTGTTTTGTTTTTTCGATTTAAAGCGTTTTGTTTCACCTTTTTTTTCCTTGAAAAACACAAAAAGAAACCGTATTTAGTAGAGATGCAAGTTGATTGGGCATTTAAAGTGATTATTATTATTATTATTATTATTATTATTATTATTATTATTATTATTATTATTATTATTATTATTATTATTATTATTATTATTATTATTATTATTATTATTATCATGACATCTCAGAAAGAAGTCAGTTTTTTTCAAAATTCAATGTGCCAAATCACCTTAGTGATTCAAGATCATCAAGGTGATTCAAGAACCGTCAATTTAACAATTCAAGAAAACCCTAATTTCCCAAATCTCAGAGTTAACCATTGTAAAAACATTTAAAAAAAAAAAAGATTGCCAAATGCAATTTTCTCTCCCAATTCCATTTAATTGCTGATGTGGCATGAGTGATAAAAATGAAACGCTTGTAAAACGCTCCGATGCCAAACACCTTTAAACTACAAGCTAGTTTGCCATATCTAAACAACATTTCTTATCCTTTAGGCAAGTTCAATAAATGATCCAATTAGCAAACCTGCTCCCGTTGATCATATAAATGCATGGATGGATTATCCACTTCTTCATCTGACAGCCAATTCCATTGATTATCCACTTCATTGTAAATGCATCATAATGAGAATAAAGAAAGGTAAAATTAATCTGTTCAAAATAGTTACATTGACTATCTTATGAGTTTTAATTCAAAGTAGATCCATTAACTAGTTTAATTTGTCTCAACAAAACCTGAGATTAAGGATGTCAATGGACCGGTTTTGGATTAGACCCCGTTCAGTCCAAAATCAATTTGGACGGATAGGACAGACCAACAAGATATATTGGATTGGACCAATTCCATCCAAAATATTTATTAGATTGGATTGGACCTAGTCTGTCCGTGACAAATTTATATTGGATTGGGTTGGATTAAGGCAATATCTGGTGGTCCATTGATATAAGATAAGAATATATGTGTCAATGGATCGGATTTCGGTTGAACCAATCTAAATCAAAATGAATTTGAATAGATTGGATGGTCCAGACATTGAATTGGACTGGTCCAGAATGGACCAAAATATTTATTGGATTGGATTGGACCTGGTCCATTTATAATAGACTCATATTGGACTAGATCGGATTGGACCAAATCCAGTTCAATTGACACCCCTACCTGAGATTATTATACGTTTACGTCATTTACATTCTTGCCCAAAATAGGGCTTGATACACGAGACAGTGCAGTATTAGTGTTTAAAGTAAGCATCCATGGGGATGTTTGGAACCGTAGTTGTTTTTCAAAAAAAAAAAGTAGTGTCACATCGGATCCACATAGGTGTTTCAACAAATACCCATGTATCTCATTGTTTGGTTTAGCCGATTATTAAAAAATCGGGCATGCCTCAAAAATCGGGACCCCACCGATGCATGAAATGCCAATTTTGACGTTTCATGCATTAGTGAACCGTTTCCCCCAACGGTTGACTGATGTGTATCCTATGTGGTGCTTACCTGTCAGCACATACATGAAAAACAGTGATAATTACCAAACAACATACTGTTGCTCACTGCCTACATGGCAAAAACGTTTTTTTGTGAAAAATCATATCTTGGAAGCATGAACATTTTTTCTTGAAAATCGGTCCCAAAAAACGCCCACACTTCCAAACACCATGCATGATGGCATGACCAAACTTGTCGATTTTCCTGAACCAACCGATTGTACGGACTGGGTCTTTTATGGGCCATTACCGAAAAGGCAAAGTTCTCCCGGTATCAATATATCATACTCTTCTGCCATCATATCATATATAAGAGGCTTTGATAGACAGTTAGACACTATATAATTTTTCTTTTGTTGAGAATCTTACATGACACCGGCAAGCTTAGGGTAGAGGCCTAAAGGGTGTAACTTGGGTCGGGTTAGGTTGGATTGAGGTTAATCCTAGCCCAACTCAAACCCTAATGACTGTGCCATTACTAAGCGCTCAATTCATCACCTGTTTGAGTGCGTAAACACCTTTTCTGAAGGGATGAGAGGTCCATAAGGATGGCCGAACCCTGTAGGAAGGTAGGGTGAATTTTCAAAAATTTCTCTCTCTCCCATGTGGGAATCACATTCCCTGTTTTAGAAAAACTGTATTTTTCAAGGATCAATCTTGAATCAAGATCTGAACCAAAACAGTAGGAGAGGGATATACCTGATACGAAGAAATAATATCTTTCAATGGAGGTGTTCACACCCAAAGAAGGATCCAAAGACTACTCTCACTAAAGATGACACAGTGTAGGGTGGAGCAGAATCAGCAATGTTCTTCCAAAGAACCAAATCCTTCACCAAGAATTCGTTGGAGGGTAGGTGAGCACGACTCCCAATCAGTTTTCACTAAAACCTGATATCAAGAATGCTTCTTGATTGCTCCTATATCAGTGGAGGTCGAATTGGCTATGGTGGCAACTGGAGAAGAATGCAGGGGGAAGATGGCGCAACCACACTGTTGTTGTCTTCTCTCTGAGTGATCTGAGATCTGATCTCTGGATGCTGGGATGGGTTGAATGGTTCGCCCCCTCCTCCTTTTATAGCCTTAAAGAGAGCTCATAATCTCATTAGGAGTTTCCTAATCCAAATATGTATTTGGATAAGGAGTTCTCTTTAAGAGATAAGGATAAGACCTTATCTTATCTGTAGATTAGATCAGCTCTCTCCAAATCTCATTATGAGGTTTCTAGATCCAAATCTGTATTCAGATCTAGACTCTATGAGTGGATAGGGTAAGACCCTATCCTATCTGTTGACCAAATCCCAGATCCGCCCCTCTTTAATTAGTCTAACTAAACCAGTTCGAAATGGGCTTTAGGCCCAATAAGTCTGTGTGTTGATTAACCTTCCAAACTGCTGCCTAGTTGGGTTTCTTTGTATGGCGTGGGACCCAAACATTGATCTACAGGTCAGCTTCATGGGTTCAGCCCAGCCTCTATTACAAGGCTTGACTGAATTCACTGAAAAGACAGTGCACCCCCTGAAGCCCATCACATGGGCTCCTAATGGGCCCAACACTTACACTAAATGGTCCCTGGGCCAAGCCACCTTATAAAAACCCAGAGACTGTGGGCAGATGCAAGATTAGCCCATCAGGTATTACCCTCAATGGTCTTACACTTAACCTCTCAGCCCATAATGATCAAATACTGCCCGACAAGAGAGGAGCTCTCCCTCGACTGCAAGGAATAGTGTTGCACTCTCTGCTCACATGGATCCCGGGAATTAAAACCTTTTGCAAATATTTCAAAACCATAATATATATACATCCGTATATAAATATGTTTTGTAAAACAAATTTCAACGATTGAAATCGGTTGTTGGCAGTCTTGGTTTCCATCAGAGAGAGTGCATCCCCGATCATTACCTTCGTCCAACAAATGGGCTGATCCTGTCACTATGATTACCCACTCAAATGAATTCTCGGACTGTCCCAACATACCCAGGTTTTGACCCCCGCTAAGGATCTCACTGATTGGCATATCAATGACAACCCAATCCGACACCTAGTGTAGTATCATAATCGAGTTTAGGGGTCAGGTGTAACATTCCAGTTTTGCCCAGTAATCACCAAGGTCCAGGGCAATATTGGAATTCTGGTCCGGTTCAGGGTTTCAAGTAAACCTACACTACATGTACCTCGGGTCTCACCCTAGCAGCTGAGACAGGCCACCCCAACACTTGGCGGCACATCAGTGTTAGCCTTAGCAGGACAAATCTCCCCAGACTTATCCAACGACTGTGAACATTCTAAACTAACACGAGTCTCATAAGTGCCCAGTTTAAGGGTATTACATAGAAACACACCACTATAACATGAATCAAATATGTACTTTATTCATTTACAATAAATGTCATAATGTACATCAATCTTATTGGAGATAAGGGCATACACTATCTAACATTTTCTTCTGTTTTTACTGATAAAGAATTTCAAAATTATTAATTATTTCAGGAACAGAAAAAGGATTTGTTACCAGACACAGCCCATGACTAGCTAACTGAAATGGGATGAAAATCTAGTACTACATCCATAGGTAGCTCCTTCATCGTCAATTTCAACTCACTTTGGAAGGAGTATAAATACAAATATGTACAGTACAAAATTAGAAGGTAATGCACTCT